AGAGTTCTGCTGAGTTCAGTGTGATATATGAGAAAGCGAGGAAATGAATCTATAATTTATTTTCTAAATTAATTATTGACTTAAGAGAGAGAAAGAGTGAGAGAGAGATTGATTTGTTGTTAAACTTATTTATGAATTCATTGGTTGCTTCCTCTATATGCCCTGACTGGGGATTGATCCTGCAACCTTGGTGTATTGGGACGATTCTCAAACCAACTGAGCTACCTAGCCTGGGCCTCAATTCTATAATTTTTGAAAGCTGATTGCAGGTCATGAGAAATGCAGACTTATATGAATGCTCTTCTGGTCAGTCTGGGGCTACTTTCAGGGATGGCATCAGGGGCTCAGCAACCTCAGCATGTCAGGGCACTGGTCGCCCCAGCCATGCCTCCCACATCACTGGTGTGTGGATGATACATGAGGGCAGACTAATGAAGAGCTTCTGTTTCACTGGTTAGATGTCGCTTTAATGCATATTGGCTGCTTTTTAAACTAATACTTCAAAGCTGTGATTTTACTTACATTCATTACTTCTGAAGAGAAAGATAGGCTTAAAAAGTGACTTAGGAGTTGGTTTAATTAGAAAAATTAAATAAGTAATCATACAGGTAGGACTTGGAAATGACAACAAGTATGAAGCGGTATATTAATGGCTGAAGTCTAGAAAACAATGCAGAAGATTGTTTTCTTCTTATCCCATTGTTTTGATAGCGTCTTTGCTGAGATTTTTGCTCTTCGGTTCCATTTACAAAATACTTAGATGGTTAAGGCAGAAAATTCAAAAACACAGAAAAGCACAAATGAAAACAATAGAAACCAACCACAACGCTACCCCTAAAAACAAGCAGTTACGATTTTGTTTTTCACCATCCAATTCTTTAGCCATAAAAGTAAAATCAAGCCTTCATACTCTGTCATAGCCTGGTTTTCCATTTTAAAAGAGCCAGCGAATGTTTCCCGTGTGGTAAGCTTTCTTTTTCAACAACTATTTTACTGGCTGAAAAGTATTCTTTTATGTGGTTAACTCAACACTCTGTACACACCTCGGAGTGTTTGCTTATAACCAGTTCCTAGAGGTAGAACTGCTAGGTCAACAGGTTTGCCCTTTACAAATGTGCTTGGCTGAAAATTAACAGATTCCTCTACAAAAAGGTTAAAATAATAAATTATTCCAATAGTCAGTGATGAGAATATCTATTTCTATAACATTTGCAATGTGTTATCATTACCACTGTTATCTTTTTAAAAAAATACTTGTATTATTTGTCAATATACTTACATAACTCAGATTATTATAGACATGGAACATACAATTAATCAGATATTTAGAATTCATTTATTTTTTGTGTGAATTACCTGCATATGCCCTTTATCTTAATTTCTATTTATGTGAAGCCCTGAAGTAATAATCAGACTTAGGTGTGAGACTAGAATATAGTACTAAATGCCTTAAGTATTCCTGTCCCAAGAAGTACTGTACGTTTCTCACAATTCTCTTTTAGCTAAAGACAATCATTATTCTTGGGAGAGAGGCCATTATTTTTTTTATCGTATTTTTTTCTAACTCATGGGAAATATTTTGAAAATATGAGTCAAATTAATTCATTTTTTAGGAGAATACAACAAACTATGGTCTACCCACATAGCCCTATTCAACAAGTTCAAAAATACTGAGATAAGAAATGGCATAGCAATGGATCCATTCCAATGATGCTAACATTTGAGCAAGAACTGAAAACACCAATAACACACTGTTGCAATTAGAAGGAAAGTTAATCCCTAGGATAATTGTTTGCCTGTCAAGGTTAGGAACACTTGACTATCTCTAATTTCTAATCTTACATACCACCCGGGTGGGTGATTGTCAATCTTTCTGGAGCTCTGACAACCCACCTCCTTGTGGTGGAGAAGGTAGCAGTGGAGTTAGTGGAGGTGCTGGATGGTAATACCACCTGCCTACACCATGAGGGATGCAGTAATATTTTAAATTAAAAAACAATTTAATTTTATATCGAGGAGAATTTTAAAATACTTCTTGACCCATCAGTGAAACCCTCTCTACCTTTGGTTTGGCAATCAGTGTTCTGAATTAATGTGGCCGAGGAGAAAACAGGATGTCAGAAAATCTTTAAATGTAATGTACATATTATATTATGAAATGCTAAATAGATTCCTACTTACTAACATACCCAGAAAGTTCTGGGTAAGCCATAGGACGAACAACAAGACCTATTTACCAGTTAAAATAATCTGCTGTCATCCATTTAATAATTCAGTAGGCAATTATTGATCACTTACTATGTGCAAGAATTGTTTCATGTACTGAAAATATTAGCAAACAATGAAAAGGTGAATGAGGCTAACTGTATGGTGAAAAAATGAGCAGGGAGAGGAAAACAGATAATAAACAGGCAAAAATGGATGAATAAGAAATGGAAAACAGTGGTAAAGGCGATGATGGAAATAGGACCAGTGTACGGCATGGAATGACTCGGTGAGGTGTGAGGCAAGGGAGAACTTTAGATGGGGCCTTGGAAGGCCTCTTGGAGAAGTTGGCATTTAAGCTGTGCCAGTGTGCAAAGGTGTTGGCAAGAGCATTGTAAGCTGAGGGGAGAGCAAATGCAAAGGCCCAGACGAATGTGAAGTGCTAGGGAAATGGGAAGGCCCGTGAGTAAGCATGTGGGGAAAGTGGTGTGAGCAGCCCTGGCTCATGTACTGCCTCAAGCCTTAGAGAGGAGTTGGGGTGCTTTCTACGGGTGATAGGATGCCTCTGGAAGGTTTGGGGACAGGACTGACATGATCCAGAAGCTCACTCCAGCTGTGTTTGGTGGGTGCGTTACCATGGGCAAGGGAGGAGGCAGTATTACCAGTTGGGTAGACGCTGTGGTTGTCCAGGCAAGAGATGTTGGTGCCTTGAACTAGGAGGTAGCCATGGAGGCAAAAAAAAGTAAGCCTCAACATCCTGTAGCTCTTATGTCAATCATCTGTGGCACTGTTCTGATACTGCATTGACTTTTTGTCTCTTCTGGTGGACTACAATATATTTTAACCACTACCATTTATAAAGTGCCCCGTGCTGCTCTGGGCTTTATACACATTGATTCCTTATAATAATTCCATCCCAAGCTCACGTGTGGGGAGGTTAACTATCTCCCTACAGCCATAAGCTAGTGAGGGGGTCATATTAAGATTTACCACTGTCTGATTCTGCGCAAGGCACAAATCTTAGCCAATACGCTAGTGTCTCCATTTAACCTACCTTAGGGGCAGCGTTGGCGCAGGTGAACCAGGCCATGGCTCAGTTTCTCTAATGGTTCTCAGAAGGAGAGGGCAGCAAAATAACCAGGGAGGGGGGCTTGTGTTTAGAATGCAGATGCCATGGCCCTGCCCTGAGAATGCAGAAGCAGCATTTCTAGGGCTGGGGCTTGGACATGTGCATTTAACAAATGCTCCCAAGTGCCAAGCACTAAAATCTGCAGAGATTGCAAAGCTGCCACTCAATAAATATTGGTTGTATGAATGCAGGAATATAATGGAGAGGTTTGCAGGAAATGAAGATCTAGGATAAGTACCTCACTCTCCCAACCCCCGATCCAGAGAAAACAGAAGCCCATTTTGAGCTGGGCCCAAGCAGAGCCTCAGCTAGCCCCTTCAGATCCACGCAGAGATTACTGATGTAACTAGCACAGGAGCCTGGCATACTCAGGCCTCTGGAAGCTTTCTATTGCAAATAATTAGTCTTGATGACCAGGCGGGAGGTCCATGGTCTCCCTAGCTGAGTAAATACGGCCCCTCAAGAGGATTGTTTTAAAAGCAAAACAATCTTCTTTAAAGAAAAATCAATCAATTTGATCTTGTTGAATTGCTGACACATGAGAGCTAGGTCTTACTCATAGGGGTGATTCACCCTTAGATACATTAAGCATAGTACCCAAGGCCCATGAGACTTCTAGGGGCTCGCAAAATGTTTTAATTCCTTTTAAAATCAGAAGAAAACCATCCTATCCTGTTTTAGCCTGAATTACATTCAACTTTTACCAATGCAGCTGTAAAATATAGTTTTTAATGTTGTGTTTTTTTTTTAAATCAAGAAATGGCCCAAGAAGGCAATGTTGTCTAGAGCACACAGAAGTCATCACGTGGCCCTGCTTACTCACCACTCTGCGCCCAGGCGATAGGCAGCTTACCTGGCAGGCGTTGTACAAGAGCTGATGTTCAAACTTCTTGATCCCGAGAATGTTCTGGAACATCTCGTACAGTTGCTCTTTGCTCAGAATCAGCTCAGAGGCTGCGCTGGCGGTCATCCGGGCCTGCTGCTTCCTGGGGTCCTCTTCCCCGCGGTAGATGGCATCGAACTTGGCCATCCAGGAGCTCAGCACGGTCTCCTTGCTGAGGCCATCGATCTCGGGGAGGCTGCGCACCCTCTTCTCGATGTGCTTCTTGAAGACCTCCCGAGAGTCGTTGGCGGAGCAGCCCCCACTCTGCACCATGCGGGCCACGCGGTCGCTCTTCAGGAACACCTGAGCGAGAACAGGGCCAGGAAAGGCATCAGAAAGTCTGTCCTGGAGACCAGCTCACAGGCGTCACAGGAGGCCCGTGTGGTTACAGCCCCACCATCTCTTAGCTGTGCAAACTCAGAAGTCACACGTTTGGCTTGGGGTCCAAATGTGGAAAATGAGAATAACAACAGTACTTAACAGTATTTAGCAAGGATCAGTGAGACAGTGACATTCTGGGAGGCAGCATAAGGCATATAGACTCTAAGCCAGTGATGGCGAACCTTTTGAGCTCGGCGTGTCAGCATTTTGAAAAACCCTAACTTAACTCTGGTGCCGTGTCACATATAGAAATTTTTTGATATTTGCAACCATAGTAAAACAAAGACTTATATTTTTGATATTTATTTTATATATTTAAATGCCATTTAACAAAGAAAAATCAACCCAAAAAATGAGTTCGTGTGTCACCTCTGACACGCGTGTCATAGGTTCGCCATCACTGCTCTAGGCCCAGGCTGCCTGGGTTCTTTCTCTGCTATTTAGTGGCTATGTTTCTTTCAGCAAGTTAATCTCTTGTACCTCAGTTTTCTCATCTCTAAATTGAAGATAATAGTTTTCTCTACATCACAGGTATTTTAAAATGAGGATTAAATGAGTTAATATATGATAAGGACTTTTCAAAATAGCCCATATTAATGCCTAATGGTTTGTGTTGGTTTTATAATAATATGTAAAGCAATTGGCCTGATGTCCCCACATAGCACTTAAATGTTAACCACTACTTATAGCTCATTTTAGCCTCTCAGTGTGCCAGGTGCCAGGTGCCAGGGATATGATCACTGTTGAAACGGAACAAATATTAAGCAAATCTATATTTAATGTCCGTCTCCCTTGCCAAAATGTAAACACCTCGTGCGCAAGGACTGTGTCCTTCTTGTTCCCCCAATGTCATGTGTCCCCAGTACGGAACCGGGCACTTTGAGAGTAAGTGCACATAGAAAGCAGGTGCTACATTAAGTCTATTTTGCAGACAGAAAACTGAGACTCCAGGGAGGGGAAGGGACTTGCTTTGGTAACTCACACCGGCTGGCTATAAATGCATGGCCTTGTGGTTCCTTCCTTCCCTAAGGGGCTCCCCTGCCTGGTGGGGAACCCTGGGTTGTTCTGTTGGTGCTGCCTGGGTCTTGGGACCGAGACATTCATTAAGATCAGTTTTCTCTCGCTCCAGGGCCCAGCACAGCCACATGGTTCTGGGGGTGTAGACAAGGTGGAGAATCGGCTGCTTCCTATCCATGGGGTGGGGGGAAGGGGGGGCGAGAACACCTCCTGACGTCTGTGAGCTGTGTCCTGGTCACCCTTTAGAGGAGCATACATGCCTTGTCAGAGGCAGAACAAACATTCGCTCCTCATCTGGGTTCAGGAATCGCCCTTATTGGCCACGAGTTGGCATCGCTTGGGGCGCGTTTCATCGCTGCCGCTTCATCACCAGGGCTCCCTTGGTGGCGAGCTGTCAGCCAGGGGGCCTGCGCTCACTGTGTGTGACTCCATGCTCTCACTTAGAAAGGAGGGCTGCGGGTTTGCTTCATGGGCTAGAGGCCGTGGCCCACTCGCCTGCACCTCAGAACTGGTCCTCAGCTGAGACCTTAGAGTTCATTTAAAAATCAACTTTAGAAAAAATATTCAAATGAGTCCTTAGGCCTTATAACCCGTAAGGAGCTGAAGAATTCACCTGAAACTCTGTAATGGTTTATACAGATGGTTTCTCCAACTAACACACAGTGTCTCGGTTTTAGATCTAGATCTCAAAGAACTTACAAATTTTGAGGCAAATAGAGAAATTTTGTGGGGAGGCAGGAGCTGTAAACCACGGTCCCAGGCCAGGTCTGCCACTAGCTTGCTGTGTGACATTGGGTGAGTCACCTCCCCTCTCTGAATCTCCAGTTACTAATCTGTTCACTGAGGGAGATGAACTATATTATTTGGGGGTTTGTCCTTCCAGCTGTGATATCTACACTCTTCTTTATGAACCTGGTCTTCTTTCTTTGAGCACTTAGTAGGTGGGAAGCACTGTGCCAGGTGCCAGGAATACGATGGTGAGCAAGACAGATGCAGACCCAGCCCGCAAGCCTCCATGACATCATCCAATAATCCCACCCAAAGAGCGTTACAAGCTGGGACAAGTTTTATCAGGGAAAGTACAGGGGTCCTGCCTAAACCCAGGAATCTGTTCTAGTGTGTGGTCAGGAAAGGCTTCCTGGAAATCACATGTGAAAGATGTTAGGTGAAGAGAGGGTGAGATAGTATTTCAGAGACAGGGAACAATATGTGTAAAGAACCCAAGGGTCTGAGGACAGAAGAATCCAGGGTGGCTGTGGCTCTGAGGGGTGGGGGGATGACCGATGTAAGATGGGCAGGAAGGGGTCAGGTGGCCACAAGCATGGGAGACCCCATTCAGTATGTTGGTCTTCATCTGAAGGGCACAGAGGCCATTGGAGGTTTTAAGCTAAGACATAACAAAATCAAGTTCACATTCTCTGTCTTTAATGTGGGAAACAGGCCTGAAAGGGGCCAAGGGAACTGGCAGGAAGCTTTGTAGAACTCCAGGAGACTGGCAATGGAGGTCACCTGGACACAAAGAGGCTGGGGTTAACTCTTTGTTTTCAGCTCTAATGAGCATGAGAGGTGACTTGGAAACAATGAACAATGAAGTCACACTCTCCTCTTCATCTGTTCATACCAGGGTCCCATTCAGCTGGGCCAGTCATAAGCCCTCAGCACCATCTTCCTTCCCCCCAAACCCTTTCATAATTGCCATTTGCCATCTGTCTTTGTGACTCTTGGTTAATATCTGAGTGTGAGGAAGGCAGGGGTTGTAACTGCTTTTTCCTATTTTTTTCTTCAAGTGTCTAAGACAGTGTCTGGCTCGCAATTGGTACTACGTTGAATGAGTGAATGAATAAGAACAAAGCAGACTTCTCGAAGCAGAGACCCTACTGAGAGCCTATCTGGATGAGGCAAGAAGATAAAGGCGAAACCAGCGAGCACAATATATTGGTCCCTGCAACAGTGGACTGAAGCTAGCTATCTGGGGGACCTGCTAACAGTGGAAGGAAATGGCCCCAGCTGGCATCCATACCTGGTGGTGACGCCTGGATCCTGCACACATCATCGGCTTGGCACAGTCCCTTCCTTCGTCCCTGTGGCCACTCGATAAATATGTCACTTAACATCTATGAACCCCACTCTCCTTCCCTGTCACACGGGGTTCATGCAGCCAGCCTTCTTGGATGAGGATAAAACTTCCTGAAAGGACTTTGGAAATAGAGGGCTCCATCTGTCCAGAGGTGAGATATGATGGCCAGGCCGGGAAGGAGGGGAGATGAGTGGAACGTCAAGAGTGTGAGGAAGGAGGCTGAAGATTGAGGAGACAGCGAAGATGAAATGCGAGACAGCCAGGGGCAGAGGGGTGGCAGCAGAAAACTAATTTTCCAGGCACATCCTCTGTCTTGGCTTCTCAGTTCATCAGAAGGGACGTGAGCCTGGGCCAGCCTTGCCCTGTCTTGAGTACAGCTACTGAGCACCGGTGCACTTGTGTCTCTAAACCACCCTTGATGCTCATTTGTACTGGGAGCGCTACCTGGTGTTTTCATTTTGTTTTGTTTTTGGCTGTTCCAAGGGACTTCAACCCCAGGCACAGTTCTATGCGGCACATCCATAAATCCTCCCTCCTCTCTGCCAGCTTCCAGAGAGGTCATAATGGGAGACAGAAGATGAACAAATAAATATGGAATGGTGAAGGGCAATCAATTCAGTGACTCGCCCTCATCCATCAGTCCTTCCCTCCCTCGCCAGAGCCAAGCAACCTCAAGGTTGTTTTAGAAACCCACAAGCACACCGGTACTTTAATGACAGTACCCGGTGCGGGGCAAAGCTGGCCCAGCTCCCACTGTCTTGCTGACAGGCTGAGGAACCAAGACAGACCCTTTCCTGCTCTACAAAAGCACATCATCCAAAATAAAGAGCAAAAAGACCTAGATGTTAAAGTAAACAAGGTTTACACACACACAACAACCTGCTTACTACTAAGGAATGGCTGCATAACAAGAGGAGCAGGTTCTAGTTAGAGGACTTGAGTTCAAATCCTGATTCTACCAGTTGCTAGCTTTGTTCCTAAGCAAGCAGCCTAATCTTCTGGGCCTTCAGTTTCCTTAACTCTGAAATGGGAATCATAGCTACCGACCTGGTAGGACTTGGGAAAGAATTCAACCAGACAATGAGTGTCAACCGGTGAGCATGGTGTCTGCTGTAAGAATGTAACTAAAGTTACCTATTGTTTTTTAACAGATTACCATGCAGCCATGAAATAAGCTATTTTTCCCACTGGCATCTAAGATGTCCATGATCTGTTGTTAACCTGGAGATTTCAATGGTAGGGGTGAGGTGGGCTAGGAGGATAGGAGCAAGACCCTGGGTCAAGAACATCATAGGTAATAAAACCTTCTACTGATGAGGGTGTCATATGTGTGATTTTCGCAGAGGTAGAAAGGAAATTGAAAACTACTGTGCTAATAAACAAGTGGATTATTAATATATCATAGTAATTTTACATCTTAATACAGAAATTAAATAGCTATTGGTATATGCACAGACATATAAAAATATCTGAAGAGATATATACCCCAATTTAATAGTAATTGTTTAGGATGATGGAATTACAGGTATTTTTCTAGCAATTTTCTTTTAGATTTTTTCTTACACTGTCTAGTTTTATAATTGGCATGCTTTACTTCCATAATTACTTAAAACAAGTCTTTCTACATGGAAAAAATACAAAATTTACCTTTGTTGAGGCACAATGAATGTTAATTTCTAAAATAAAATGCACCTTTGGATCTTAAAGATATCCCTCACCAAAAATTAAGGGATCCTGGTGCAAACTTCAGATGCACATCTGGGGCCATGACCTGTGGTAGATGGTGGGGTTCAGACTCAGAGTGGGGTGCCACCGGATGGAATGGGGTAGTGACAGGCCGCCTGTTATATTCTGTGGCCTGGCTTCCTCCGGTTCCATTTTTCCTTATGCTTGGTTATTTCTTTTAAGAACAAAAACAACAAACAGTTGTTCTTGTTGTTGTTATTATTAAGGCTTAATTTAACCGCAGTCCGTTTCTGTTGCTAGCAACTGGAGAATTCTGTGATGCACATTCAAAGGCAGTTTGACAAACGCTACCCAGGCCTTTGCTAGAGGAGATCAGCTAAAAACAAGATACGAAAGCAGAAGTCAGAGCAGTGGCATGGCTGACGCCCGATGTCAGCTGTGGTGCTCCGAGTGCCTGTGCGTCTCCACCGATCTCCACCCTCACTTCCTACCACACTCCACGTTTCCTTCCAGGTGGGATCTGAATGAGACGGCTTTGTACAGCTCTTCCACCGCCTCTCTTCTCTGAGGCCCAGGCCCAGTGTGTGAAGGAACCAAGGAGGTGGGTGGTGTCGGTGCGGCTGGAGCTGAGGGTTAGAAAAGACGTGGGGGCTGTGGAGGAATGGGTGGCTCTCCGGTGTCTTAGGGCTGTGGCTGTGGCTGTGGGAATAGGCTGGGGCTGCTGGGCAGATCTCAGGGTGCCCAGCCAAGGAATGGGTGGCTCTCCGGTGTCTTAGGGCTGTGGCTATGGCTGTGGCTGTGGCTGTGGTTGTGGGAACAGGCAGATCTCAGAGTGCCCAGCCCTCAAAGCCCTAATGGAAGAGATTAAGGATTAACCTGCTGTCCTGTGTGATCGGCTTTGACAGTCAGGGCCACCAGGAAAGGATAAAATAAGCCGACATGCTCTGGAGAGCCTCAGAGAACCTTGCCTCCCTCTCTCCTGGCCCCACTCACACCCAGGCCGCACCAGCTTGCGGGTTAGTGCTGGCCAGCCGGGGCCATGCTGGGCTGATGGGCACAGGTGGAAACTGTCTTTACTCCTCTAGTGTGTGACAAACCGTTATTCTTTAGCACCACAAGGCCAACGCCTGACGCTGACTTTGACTTTGCCTAGTGCAATAATCTCAGGACTTTTTGAGTAAAGATTTTTTTCTTAATGACATTACCTTGGTAAACTGGAGGTGCAATATGGTGGCTGGGGTAGGTGTGAGAGAGAGAGTACGTGTATGTGAGTGAAAGTGTGTGTGAGTGTGTGTATGTGAGAATGTGTGTGAGTGAAAGTGTGTGTGAGTGTATGTGAGAATGTGTGTGAGAGTGTATGTCAGAGAGTGTGTATAAGAGTGAGAGTGTATATATAAGAATGTGTCAGTGTATATTTGTGTATGTGAGTGTGTGTGAGTGAGAGTGTGTGTGAGAGGGTGTGTGAGTGATTGAGTGTGTGAGAGTGTGCGTGTGAGTGAGTATGTGTGCATGTATGTGTGTGAGTGTGCATGTGAGTGTGTGTGAGTGTATGTGTGTGAGAGTGAGTGTAAGTGTGAGAGAGTGTATGTGTGAGAAAGTGTGTGTGTGAGAAAGTGTGTGTGTGAGTGTGTGTGTGACTATATGTGTGTGAGTGTGTGTGCGAGTGTGTGTGTGAGAGTGAGTGTGTGTATGTGAATGTATATGTGTGTGACAGTGTGTGTGTGACAGTGTGTGTGAGCGAGTATGTGTGTGAGAGTGTGTGTGTGAGTGTGTGTGTGTATGTGAGTGAGAGTATATGTGTGTGAGAAAGTGTGTGTGTGTGTTTGAGAGAGCGTTTAGAAAGAGAATATATATGAAGTTTTTTGGACGAGCATTCATTCCCCCTTCTCCTGGTAAGAGTCACCCTCATTTCTCATTGGGAAACCATTGCATTTTCAATACAGATGGCTCTGCTGGGACTGAGCCTGCACTCGGGCTCAGAGGTGTTGTGTGTCCTAGGCCTGCGTCCCGGTCTGTTCCACCCCCTCCTACTGTGATCAGTTTCAGAAAAGACGCCTGACCCATGTCCCTCCATCCAAGTCACCTGGCCTTTTGCTGGGACTCTCAGTAAAGAGGTTCTCTGTGCTCCTGGGGCTGCAGGGAACGAACCTGCCTAAGCAGGAAGCCGAGTGTGGAGGCAGATGCTCGTGCTGCTGCACCTTTGCATCTCAGGACGGAGCCACAGCTAAGCCAGGCCTCCTGGGCCTTCAAGAGGCTGGAGCAGATAAAGCTCATTTTGAAACCGGTTTGAAGTAGGTGTCTGTCATCTGTAATCTAAAGACTCGTGACCAAGACAGACACTGACAGAAAAGTAATTGCATTTCAGATTCGGGGAGAGGAAGAGACATTAGCTTCTCCATCACCGAGAGCAAAGGGAAAGGGGAGAGAAGAGGGGAGCAGACAGGCGGTGCTACCCTGACCCCTGCCTGGGGGTCTGTGCTGCAGGGGGTCCCAGGAAATGTGACCCAAAGACTTTCAAACTTTACTGAGGACTGTGGTAAACAATTCACACCTCACCTTATTTCCTGTCACCCAAATCTCAACATTAAACAGTCAGTAATTTCTCCAAGCCTAGATTCTCATCAGACTAAAAAAAAAAAGTGATTTCAAACCAACTGGCCAGTACAGTTTGGGTCACTGTAGATATAATGGTAATTGACAGAGACTTGTTAGCATGCTGATGACTTCTAATTTTCAAATTTAATTAATGGATATAAATGGCACTTTCTTTTCATTTATGTCATTAGTCAAATGAGCTTTCTAATTAAGATGAGCATTCTCGAAATTTACAAACTGGTGAATGACTTTAAACATGAACTATCGATAAGGTTCTGTCTGGTCAGAACTGGCTTTCAGAACTTGAAGAAAGGGCGGGGGGAGGGGGGCAGGGATTCATTTCATTTCCTGGAAGTTTCTAGACAGAAATTTTGTAAAATGTATTCAAGTTATTCACTGCCATACCCTCATCGTGATTCCAAATCTCATTTCCACTTTCCATTAAATGCAACTGAAAAATTACATCACATCAGGTAAAGCAGTAAGTTTGGCCCTTATTGCCAATAATTGATACTGCTGATAAAATGTAAAGGAAAAACTTAAGTTTGACAAGTGTAAAAATGAACCCAACTTCTAAAATAGATTCGCATAGAAATTTCACTGAGGAAATGACATGTAAAATGAGTCTGTGGCCAGACTCAGCAAATATCATAAAGACAAAGGCTGTTTACTATGAAAAACTAATTGGCAAGCTAATCAATAACGTTTTCCCAGGGTCTAATTGTGGTCTTGCTCCACTCCCTGTGAAAGGAGGAGTCACGTGCTCTAGTCGGAGTGGAAGGAAGAGCACCAATGTTTCTGATCTGAAATAATTTGCTCCCTAATAATTTTAAAAAGAAAGTAATCCATTGTGAGAAATTCAGTTTGTTGGATTTCCTTACACTTACTTTAGAGTTTATTGTTATTACTTTGAATTGCCTATGACAACATCCCATAAGTTTTTCCATGCTTAGAGGATAGTTTCTAATGCTTTTAAGCTAGTCTTGACAATGGGTAAGACATTTGAGGCACAGGATTCCAAACACAGAGAATATCTGGATCATATGAAATAGATTAATATAAAGTAAAATGTCTTTCAATGACCAAATAATCATTTTTGAAAATGTGTATGTCAGTTAAACATTGCCAATAGGAAGGCATGGCATGTCCACTTGCCATTAATGATGTACCAATGATAGCCAATATTCACAATATGTAAGAATAATTACTAAATTTAAAGTAAAATTATATATATTTAAATTGTACACATGATTTTTTTAGGTTACAATGTGATTATTTTATGTACATATATAGTGAAATGATTACCATGATCAAGCTAATTAACATATCTACCCATCACCTCAGTTAACATTTTCTTTTTATTTAAGATCTACTCTCTCAGCAAATGTCCAGTGTATAATAGTGTCATTAACTCAGTCATCATGCTGTACACTAGATCCTCAGAACTTACTCATCTGAAAACAGAAAGTCTGTACCCTTGACCAACATCTTCCATTTGTCCCCCTGTAACCACTGGCAACTGCCATTCTTAAATTTACAAGTAAATAAATATTTAATGCTAAAAAAAAAGTACTAGTGGAATTCCAAATTCTCTTTACTAATAAATAAATCACTGAGGTTTAAAGGTGAAAAATTACTTGTAATATATACTCAAGATATATTCTCTCACTTCTAGGTTTTCTCCTGGGAATAGTGGTGCATTTTGGACGGTGTTCTAACTTGCAAAAAGAACCATCTTAATAGCGAGAAGAGTAAGATAGTGAATGCACTGTCCTTAGGAGATGTTAACATCCTTCAGAAAGGCTGTACATGGAGGGAACATGCTCCTGACTCACTTCAAGTTATAGCTGTGGCATTTAAAGAGTGTGACCTTGAGTAATTGACATGGCCTCCCTGAACCTCAGTCTCTTCATCAGTAAAATGGAAATAATATCAGGACCTAACTCTGAAGACTGCTTTAAGGATTAAGCAAGAAATTGCATGTAAAGCACTCAGCACAGGGCTGGGTATAAAAATCAGCTGGTAAACAGTTGCTTCTTTTACAGTTTTCCCCCAAATAAAATACAATTATTCCTTAACACTGTAACCAATCACCCACCGCTTTGCCTCAGGAGCAGTGGTCCTATGGAAGGCCAAGGCTTTTGTTCCCACTGAGCCTGGGCTGCAGGCCTGAGCAGTCCCGCCATCCTTCCTCATGGTGCCTTACCTCATAGTAACTCTGGACGGCGTTCATGAAGGCCTCGTCAGCCACGATCTGGGTTTCCCCATTGAGGAAAGCCTGGAAGCGGTCCTTGACGGTCTGCAGCTGCTGTTTGCTGATCTGGAAGAAACAGAGGGAGAGGAAGAGTGAGCACTTGTTCCACCCAAGGATCATGGTTCTTTGCACTGAAGATGCCAGGCCCGTTGGTGGGCTGGAGCCGGCCTGCACAGGCATGTGAGAGCTGAATGCTAAGTTTGCAGGAATTTTGTGAGGCAGTTGTTAAACACAGCCATTTCTAAACATTAAGATAAATTACAGTTAAATAAACATATTAAAGTCAAAGTTAATACATACTCAACATTCATTGCTTTTTTATTATGTTATCACATTTTACTATGATCTGTACTTTTGGGGTTATTTATATGTATGGTGTGTATTGTAGAGATGATATATATGGGCTACTACCCCATGTCTCTCCTCAACTCCACATTCAGTGACATGTTATTGGAAGCTAGAGATCAGCCAAGGTGGGAGTAATTACAGCATGGAAACTGGCAACCGCTGCAAGTCAGGGCTGTGTGTGTTTTAGAGATGGCTGTTCCACACACCACTGCACAGGCGCCTCGGGTGGTCTGAAATGCCCTGCTTTACAGAGCTATAGTGGCCAAAAAGTATAGTGCTGGCATTAAAACAGACACGTAACCCAACGGGACCGCACTGAGATCCCAGAGGTAAACCCACGCATATATGGTCAACTAATATTTGAAAAGGGAGCCAGGATACTCAATGGGTAAAAGATGGTCTCTTCAATAAATGGTTTGTAAAAACTGAATATTCACATGCAGAAGAATAAAATTGGGTCCCTATCTTAACCACTCACAAAAATTAACAAAAAATAGATTAAAGACTTAATTAATTAATCCCCCCAAACCTGGAAAACTACTGGAAGAAAACAGGAAAAAAGCTTCTGAACATTGTCTTGTTAGTGGTTTTCTGACAAGGAAAACACAAGGAACAAAAGGGAAAAACAGACAAGTGGAACTACATCTAACTAAAAAGCGACAACACAGGAGGTGGGTCCAAAATGGTGGTGTAGTTTCTGACAAGGAAAACACAAGGAACAAAAGGGAAAAAACAAACAAGTGGAACTACATTTAACTAAAAAGCGACAACACGGGAGGTGGGTCCAAAATGGTGGTGTATGTGGGTGCTGAGCTCACCCTCTCCCAAGACCATATTAAACATATGCCTATATTTTGAGCAATTCTTCCTGACAGACAACTATGAGCCAATCAAACAGCTTCTGCACAACAAGCAAGAGAGAGGGACTGCATAGAGAAGGTCAGGAAACCATGAAAGCTCTCCGGGAGCTGAGGGAACAACCCAGAACAAGAGGGACTGGTGCATGCCATTATTTACATTTTTTTCTGAATGTGGATAGTGGGTGGGAGTCCCTCCAGCTTCTCTGGCTGATTTGCAGAGCACTGTGGCATGTCCCCAGGCACCCCTCTTGGAACCAGAACAAGCAGAAATAAGGGGGCACCATAGCACACACTGAGATGCACACACAAGGGGCTCCCCCACCTGAAAAAAGTGGAGCGCTGACACAATGCTGTGGTGCACAGCTGCAGGCTTCCTCATCCAGAGCAAGTGCTGAGGTAGTGGGCACTGCTGCGTGGCATGGGGAGCTTTCCTGCCCAAAGAAAGTGGGGAGCTAGCAAAACCTTGTGGTACCCACACTCATGGGTGCCCTCTGTGGAGTAAGTGGGGTGTTGCTGTGCACACACAAGGCTGCCCCTGGGGAGAAAGGGCAGAGCTAGTAGGGCACTGAGAAGCAGGTATGCAGTAGTGCACCCAGACCATGTCTGACTGAGGACAATTAAAGCCACAGGGCACACAGGCAGGGATGGCCATGTTGAATGAGGGGCATGACTGAGTACATGAGGAGCTGTACTCCCTAGAGAGGGAACAGAACTAGTGAAGTGCAGCCATGCACACAGAACAGACCTGTCCCACCCAGAGAGGACAAAGCTGGTGGAACATTGAGCTAAAAAAGTAGCCCTGCCCAGACCCTGCCCTGATCACAGACAGTTAAAGCAACAGGGCATGCTAAGAGCACACCTAGCAGCCCCCTCTACATCAGGTAGCCCCACCCAGATTAGAAGGGAAAGGAAGCAAAACACTCCAGGTTGCCCCACCTGGAACCCACTCCTTCAGACCAGAGGTCATATCAGGCACCTCCAGCACTCATTCCAACTATCCAGCTTGCCCAAACTGTCCAAATCAGAGCCTACACAGAGACCACTTTTTCAGGACCACTTTTTCAGCTATTTTAGACACATCAGAGAAACTCAAACAATAGGGAGACAGAAGAATATGCCCCAAATGAAGAAACAAGAAAGAAGTCCAGAGAAAAAACCCCAATGTAAAGGAGATAAGTAAAAAAGAATTCAAAGAAATGGTCATAAGAATGTTAAAAAAACTTGAGAGTACATGGAAGAATACAAAGAGATAAAAAATGTAATAAAGAACTAATCAAAAGAAAACAATATCTAAAATGATGACTATATTAAAAAGAATCAATAGCACATTAGTTAATATGGAAGATAGATTAGTGGGGATCACCCAATCAGAACAGGAAAATAAAAAGAGAATTTTTAAAAAATGAGGATAGTATAAGAGATCTCTGGGATAACATCACATGCCCTAACATTTAACATTATAGGAATTCCAGGAAGAGAAGAGGAAGAGAAAGGGGTAGAAAGAATAGTTGAACAAATAATGTTTGAAAACTTTAATAATCTGGGAAAGGGAACAAATATCCTGATCCAGGAAGCACAGAAATTTCCAAAGAAGATGAACCTAAAGAGACCCACACCAAGGCATATTGTGATTAAAATGGCAAATGTTAAGGATAAAGAGACCATCTTAAAGGCAGCAAGAATGAAACAAGTCACATACAAGGGAAACCACTTAAGGCTATCAGCTGATTTATCAGAAGGGAGTGGTGGTTGATAGTGCTGAAAGAAAGGAATTTACAACCAGCAAGGTTATCATTCAGAATTGAAGGAGAGAGAGTGTCCCAGACAAGTAAAAACGAAAGGAGTTCCAAATCACTAAGCTGGCTTTACAAGAAATGTTAAATGATCTTCTTTATCCAGGAAAAAAAGGGCCATAACCAGACATAAAAAAAAAAAATACAGAAAAGGGGGGAAAAATCTCACGGATAAAGGCAAATCTATAATAATAAAAGCGTAATACGTTAATTAGACCGGATAGCCGAACAACCTCCTGGATGTCATTCCAGACATCCTTCCGGATGAAGCTGCAGTGGTGGGGGCCGAAGCAGAGGCAGTTAGGGGTGATTAGGCAGACAGACAGAGTGATTAGGGGAAATCAGGCAGGCAGGCAAGCAGAGCAGTTAGGGGTTATCAGGCAGGCAGGCGAGCAGTTAGGGGTGATCAGGCAGGCAGGTGAGTGGTTAGGGGTGATCAGGCAGGCAGGAAGAGGAGTTAGGGGTGATCAGGCAGGCAGGCAGGTAAGTGGTTAGGAGCCAGCGGTCCCGGATTGCGAGAGGGATGTCCAATTGTCAGCTTAGGCCTGATCCCGCAGAAATGATCACACCTAAACTGGCAGTCAGACATCCCCTGAGGGGTCCCAGATTATGAGAGGGTGCAGGCCGGGCTGAGGGACTCCCTCCCGCATGCACATATTTCATGCACCAGGCCTCTAATATATAATAATCACAGTGAATTAACCATGTGAGAAACTAATGTGAAGGTTAAAAGACAATAGTAGCAAAATTAGCTATAACTACAATAAATAATCATGGGATACACAAAACAAAAAGGTATAAAACATGCCATCAAAAACATAAATAGTGGAGGGGGAGAAAAAATGTAGTGCTTTTGGGATGCGATTGAACTTACATGCCTATTAGCTTTAAGTAGACTGCTATAGATATAGATGGATGTATATGAACCTTATGGTAACCATAAACCAAAACTAAATAAAAATACACAAAATCTGAAGAGAAAGGAATCCAATTAAAAGGCAACATCATTGATGGACCTAGAAGGTATTGTGCTAAGTGAAATAAGTCAGATTGAGAAAGATAGACACTGTATAATTTCACTTATATATGGAATCTAAAAAACAAAACAAATGGACAAACAAAACAAAACAGAAACAAACTCACAGATACAAAGAACAAACTAATGTTTGTCAGAGGGAAGGAGATTGGAGGGATGGCTGGAAAAAGGGAAGGGATGTATTAAGAAGTATTAAGAAGTATAAGACTCCAGTTACAAAATAAGTCACAGGAATGTAATCCACAGCATAGGAAACAGAGTCTATAATATCATAATAACTATATATGGTGACAGATGGTTACTAAACTTATTGTGGTGATCATTTTGTAAGGTATATAAATGTTGAATCACTATGTTGTACACGTGAAACTAATGTAATATTACTTGTCATATGTCAACAAAAATTAAAAATAAATTTTAAATAAATGCAAAGCCTTTACATGTTCAACTTTTTAAAAAAAGCTTCTTCACAGCAAAAGAAACCACACCACCAGCCACATGAAAAGGCAGCTTATGGAATGAGAGAAAATATTTGCAAACTATCTGATAAGGAGTTAATATCTAAAATACATAAGGAACTCATACACTGTATAATAAAAACAATCGGATTTAAAAATGAGGAGGATTCTAAATAAACATTTTTCCAAAGAAGATGTACAAATGGCTAACGGGTACTTAACAAGGTATTCAACATGGTCTGGGAAGTGTAACTCGAGACCACCAGAGGATATCACCTCACACCTGTTAGAATGGCTAGTATTAAAAAGGCAAGAAATAACAAGTGTTGTCCTGCATGTGGAGAAAGGGAACTCCTGTGCGCTGCTGGTGGGAATGTAAATAGGTGCAGCCACGATGGAAAACAGCATGGTGGCTCCTCAAAAATTAAAAATAGAACTACCACATGGTCCAGCAATCCCACATCTGGGTCTATAGCCAAAGTAAATGAAAATGGGTCTCAGTTCCAAAAAGAGATTGTGGCAGCCCTATGTTCAGTGCAGCATTATTCACAATGGTCAAGATATGGAAACA